TATGAGGTATGTTAAGACTGTTACTACTGTGGTTGGAGTTGATTCTCTCGCCAGTTAGTCCTTCGGTATCATCGACAAGAGAAAAGAGATAGTAATAACAATAATAGTAATAATAATAATAATAGATATAATTAGTGAAGTGCCCTCGTCTAATCATTTGAAAGTCCTTCGAATTGCCCATAGCATTCGAAAAGCTTTAGCTGCGGCTGCATCGCAATATGCAGTTGTCTTCAAATCATTGCTGACAATGATTCCTAGGTCCTTCTGTTCGTTAACATCAGGTAGTTCTGCGTCCCCTAGGGAGTACGACGCATAAGACTTCTGACCTAAGTGGATTACCGCACTTTTCCTAGCATTCATTTCCAAACTCCATAGGCTTGACCACTCAGCTAATTTATCTAGATCAGTTTGTAGGGCCGACCTATCCTCGTTATTATTTACAGTTTTCCATATCTTAATGTCATCTGCAAATAATAATGAAGATGAAAGAATATCTGGTAATTCGTTAACGTATAATAGGAATAGCAATGGACCTAATACAGTTCCCTGGGGCACTCCACTGGATACTGCTTTCCATCCTGATAGTACACCGTTAACTCTAACCTTCTGCCTTCTATCCATTAAGTAATCTCTAAACCACTCACATAGGCATTGGTCTAGTCCGAAACCTTTAAGTTTACTAAGGAGACCTAAGTGGGATACTTTGTCGAACGCCTTGCTAAGATCAATAAAAACCACGTCCAACAGATGGTTCCTATCTCTGGCCTCAACCCAGTCTTCCCTAGCCAAAAGTAGGTTTGTCAAGCAGGATCGTCCTGGTCGGAATCCATGCTGTTCCACAGCCAACAAGCCATGTGTTTCAACATAAGCTAATAGTTGATCCCTTATAATAGTTTCCAATACCTTTGCAATAATGCATGTCAGACTTACCGGCCTGTAGTTAGATACCAATTGCCTATCCCCGTCCTTGAAGATAGGGCTTATAATGGCATCCTTCCAGTCCCTGGGTAGCTTAGCCTGCGTCAGAGACATTTGGAAAATCTCCGTAAGCGGAATATATATTATATCCGCCAAGGAAATTAACAGCTTAGGGTGAAGTCCATCCGGCCCAGGTGATTTACCTGGCTTCAGTTTAGACAGTAGTTTCAGAACCTTTGTGTGCTCTACCACAATTGAGGGCATCTGAGTGGCGATGGCAGTGACCTCGCCATATCCCTGGGTGGTACTATCAGACGAGAAGACGTCACAGAAGTATTCAGAGAGGTTTTCAGCCTTTCCTTCGTCTGACTCAGCCGCTTCTCCACTAATGGTTATGAGTGACGGTATACCACTGCTAGTTTTAGTCCTACGTTTAATATACGAGTAAAACCTTTTTGGGTAATGAACGCAATCTAGTACTAATCGTCTCTCGTACTCTATACGACTCTTGTTAATCGCATACTTACAGAGGTTTCGAATTTTGCGGTAGTCTTTCTGGAAGTTTTCCCTTCCTGTCATAACAAATTGGTCCCATAAGTTCTTTCGCCGTCTTAATAACCTCCTTATTTCACTAGTGATCCAAGGAGGTTCATGCGACGGCTTTCGAGGAGTGTACCAAGGTATAAAAGGTGAAGTGACACGATCTAGTGTATTCCTAAATCCTACCCAAGCTTCCTCGACAGTCCGACTTGTATCAACTGACCAGTCAACCGCAGTTGCTGCGTTCCGGATTCCTTGTATATCCGCTTTCCAAATGTTTGGACGAGCAGATTTTGGCCTGTGTATGAGAGAATGAATCCTAAACGTAAAAGCAATGACTATGTGGTCACTGCTGCCAAGCGGCGGAAGGCACCTAATGTTACCAACGTCCTCCTTCTGGTGTGTCAATACCAAGTCTAGAGTAGATGGATCATGTTCAGGGTGATACCGTGTTGGTGCATGCATATGTTGCACGAGTGCACATTCAAGCACTGTCAATGTGAGCTCCCTATTGAAACAGGTATACAAACTAGTGGAGTTTAATTCCCCCCAATTAATATGTGGAGCGTTAAAGTCGCCAACAATCAGACACCTATTTCTACTACCCCACGCCCTCAAGTGATTTAGAACGAAGTCATCAGCTTGGCTAGCAGGACTTCTGTAAATAACTCCGATCGTTAAAGTGCCTTTGTTTAAGTTAATGATGCAACTTGCGGCTTCACTGGTGCCGCTGTCATGAGCTTCTGACAACGTTGACCTGATCCCTATGTCATCCCGGATGTATAGAGCAACCCCCCCACCTTTCCGACTACTTACTCTGTCTGCTCGTATGCAGATATACCCAGGTATGAGTGGAGTTAAGTCTACACCCACTAACAACCACGTCTCAGTGATAGCAATTACATCAGGTTGTAGTCTTTCAGATAACTCTCCTAATTCGGCGAGCTTATTCCTAAGACTACATGCGTTCGTATAGCACACCGAAACACCTACGTGTTCACCCGGCTTATGAAGAGAGGTCTCGGCAGCATCGGTTTCCGAGACCTCACCACCCGAAAACCCAATAGCTTGAGGTCCTTTTCGCCTTTCTCTAGCCTGGCCTTTAGTTCAGCCACGGCTTCTCTTCTTTTGATTCTATCTTCTAAAGGCCAATCAGGCCTTATTTTTAGACTTTTGTCGTTGACTTTGAACGCGTTGTCGAGGATGGTCCTCCTCTCTGTTTCGTTCCCTAAAACTATCTTAAGTAGTCGTCGAGGAGTTCCTGTAGCATCAGGGTTTCGTTTTCCGATCCTGATGGCCTTTCGTACGTGTACTCCAGTTGTTTTTTCGGGAAGTATTTCCCGGATAATGGAGCTGATCGCCTTCAGATCATCTGCATGTCGGGCAGCTGGATCTGTGTTCTTAGATTCCTCCAAGTTCCAGATGATAATACTGTAACTAGAGTCCGTGGGTTTCTGAGTTTTGCTGGTACTAACAGTCGTCGAGACCTTGTTGGTAAACTCGGCTACTGTTTCTTTCCTAGTTTTGTTTTGCTCCTTACCTTTCGGCAGCAACCAAGTGGAGTCGGTTTCTCCCACTCTCTTTTCGCCGCGACTAGAAGCAATTCGTGCACTAGACACGCTGCGCTTTGGCGTTGCTATTTCACACGCTGGTGTTGCCATGCTGGCACTACTTGCCCTTTTGGATTTCCGTTGTCTTTTGCGCTTTGCAACAACAGATGTTTGGGCATTTTGTGCTTCTTTTGCTTCTGAGACTTCAGGAGGTGATGCATCCTGAGTCTTACAACTATGTCCTGAACCGCCATCCTTGGCTAAGGTTTCTGGTACAGGCTTTTCAACTATGTCTTTCGACAATTTCTTGGACATCAAGAGTCCTACTGCCTCTTGGATGAGGACATCTAACGGGTTGCTGCAAAATTTGCACAGCCATGGAGATGATGGCTTGCAACATCTCTTATAGGCTACTGGTGTTAAACCAGTGCAAACTTTGTGGAACCATAGGCTGCAGTTGTCACACTGCATCCCATCATCCACCGGAAAGTGGCAGTCCGGTCGTCCACAGTTGTTAGTTGGGCGCATAACTTTAATTTGTTTCAACTACACAGTTATATGTACGTGAAAACAGTGAGGTTAATACCAAACAACTATACAAATATATATACGTGTGACAGCTAGGTAAATACCAACCAAAACACAAAATGGGAATAAAATGAACAACACTTCGACTAAATAAATCAGTTAAAGTGAACTGAAAAGCTTCTGGTGTGGTTTAAAAAACAAAAGCAGAATTTACTTCACAACGTTAAAAATGCCACTCTCCTTTTTCAAAGCACGCGCACGTGTTTCCTTTGAATTTTGCATTATCCACTTTTTTTCTCACTTAAATCACTTTTCCAACGCACCAGTTACTTACGTTTTCACTCACTTTACCCATATACATACAACTGTACGGACGTAGTGTCGCTCAACAACATGACCCATGAATCTCTAAATTCCTTATGAATTTCTACAATTCCAAGGCATCCGAAAGCATTCACCCTAGTAAGTTATACTTCGTTCCTGATATTTCTTAGGGAAATAATGAACCAGACCCAGTTTTTAATCTCTCAGTTCCACTGAGAATCGCTATTTGCATTAGACTGTACTATTCTCAATTTTTTATTACACACATTTAGTGTCGTGTATTTACAACTTTGGTAAAAAAGAATAATTGCTTTATTTAGTGACGAAACTATAACTTTCAGATTCAGATAATAACGATAGAAGGCTCTTGTTGCCCATGTTAATCCTTGCGTTATACATCTCTGCAGAGATCTAGTTTCTCGTTGAAAGCGTTTACTGATGGAGCTGTTACTACTGAATCAGGTAGGGAGTTCCAGTCGTTGACTACTCTATGAGAGAATCTAAATTCCACACGTATTTTGTTCGATTTGTTCGGTTTGATCACTTTCTTGTGGTGACCTCGTAAATGTATCCTAGAGAGGGAGAAAAGGTTTGAAAGGTCAATTCCTAAACCATCCTTTAATATACGGCATACGAAAATTAAGTCACCTCTCTTCTTCAGTGTGATAATGAGAAGAGATTTAAATGTTAACTACTCTCTACTCTTCACTTCTAATGTTAGGCAGCTAAATCTTATGCTAAAATGTGCAAAGGATACACAGTCGCAATTATCGCTACTGAAATACAATTCTTGCAAATATTCAAAAGTTGGCTGTCAGAAGACAAAAGTTGCACATGTATTACCATACCACCAGGAGTAACTGAATTACCCTTAAACTTTAGAGAGTACTATTTCAATTTTTGAGGGAGCTTCCCTATATTTAAGGTTGTTGGGTGCTTTGCGGATAATTGAAGATTGGTGTAAAACCAGACTTCCTCAGATGCAAACATGTGACATTACATTATTCTATTACTGAATTGGGCATGTAATGCATACACGTTGATTGTATAAATATATACCAAATGTGTATTTTTTTTGTTCTATCTCTATTAGTCTCATGCGAGTACTTCGATTTTAATGATATTTTAAAAAAATTGTAGATTCTTTAATACTACAAATTCGACGGTGAATTTCAGGCGGAAAATCTTGACAGTTTAAAATCACTTCAAGTGCATTCCATCAGATGAATAGTAAAAGAGCTCTTCACTTCGTTTTCAAAGTTGCCAACCGCAATGAAACAATCGACTTTTACAAAAGAGTTCTTGGCATGAAGGTATGTGCGTGTATTTGTACCATTCAAAAGCACATGTGCAATCATTTTTGATGTGGAGTGAATTTGTTCTCCTTTCTTGGGGGATATTTAGTAAGCGTATAGTTTTTCATTGCTGTCCATTACTCAAAGAAGAGTTATCAAAACTTCCCTGAATGGAGCTATTATTTGACGACTAATTTTTTTGTAAATGAGGTTATAAAAACAATTTTCGTGCATTATTAGGAAATATATTTAGTCAAGAAGATGATTTGTTGGAAAAGTCAGTTTGACTGACTATCCGATGCGGATAATTTCTGAGTTATTTCATTCTTCAAGAAAGTGCTTACTCACAGAGAATTGAACAACCTCTTCTTTGTTTTTCATTTGACAACTATTTGATAACCGAGTATGGATGAAATTAAGCTCACTAAACTTGACATTCGATTGAAAATCAGTAAGCGCAAAACTGTACTCTCTAAGCAAGCATCTGAATAAGTTAGCTCGAACTCGCTTACCGAACAGGTCAGTGAGTCATGCCCTCACTAAAAACTCTGGCCTTGGTGCAGTCATATACCATACAAATCTCATTATACGCAACACATAAACATACAGTCACTCACTATCTGTATTTTCTTGGCAGATCTGGCAACATAAAATTGCTAGGACGCTGAGATAAACTGAACTGAATTATAAGAGTAGAACTTTGACTGACTGATTGACTGGTTTCAACAGAGAACTTTGCACCGATGTGCACCAGTTCGAGTAGCCACACTTCACTCAGCACACAAAGCCAGAAAAGAAAGTAAAAAGAAACGTAAAATAGAGACAGTAAACAGAGATATAAGGCGGAAAGAATAGTAATGTCGAAGAACAATATAATTTAATTGGAAATTATAAGTCACAAGGAGTGGATGCATCTGCTCCAGCCATTGAGAACGATTGGCCAGTAGTAAACAGGTCTTTTGTATCGGTGGTGTAATGTTGTCAGAAATCACTTCAACTTCTCGCATAAATGGAATTATTACTTTGCATCCCGTAAACGAGGAGTCTATGCAGACTAGTCCTTCAATGTCGTCTTACATATGATATGAATGAGTCGCATACTAATACTAAGATTCTTGCTCGAAGTGGTCAGATAGCTGTACTTACTGTAGGTCGATAAGATGCTTCTTTGATAACAGATTACTTTAACTAACCCTAACTGTTGCAAGCCATATATATATATCACTATCTTTTATAGCTTCATTACAGGACACTTCATTTACTTAATTGCTGTTCAGCTTACTTATCTGTTTCATTATTGTCACAGGTTTTACGACACGAAGAATTCAGTGAAGGTTGTAAAGCATCATGTAACGGGTAATTAGCTCAATTTTTTTAGTGTTGATCAAATATACTTAGACCTTATGATGGAAAATGGAGTAAAACTATGATAGGCTATGGTGCTGAAGACAGCCATTTCGTTATTGAGTTGACCTACAACTATGGAGTTGGTGGTTATCAACTTGGAAATGATTTTCAAGTGAGTTATTTTATTTTTTATACTAACCTTGCATAGTATATTCGCATTCACAACAAGGCAGCTTATTCAAGAATAATCGATGGATCATGGCCGATTACGTCGAAAGAATCAGACAGTGTTAGAGTTGAAGCACCCGGTGGATATACTTATTGTGTGCATAACTGTGATGGTGATGGTGATCCTGTTCGAATGGTGGCGTTGGCTAGTTCAAATCTTCAACGTTCTATCGGTATGTCATTCTTTACTCACTAATACAATCTTGTGAACAGATTACTGGGCTGGTAAACTTGGCATGACTGTAGTATCATCTAATGGAGAGGAAGCTGTATTCTCCTATTCACCGAATCAATGTCATTTAAAGCTGATTTCTATTCATAAGGCTGTAGATCATGCTAGTGCATTTGGTCGTATCGCTTTTGCTTGCCCTAGTAGTCAGGTAAACTTGTGTCATTTTGAATTTGTTTATTTGAATTTATTTATTTATTTTGTTTTTATAGTTACCAGTTTTACAAAATGTAATGGATGCACAGAAAGAGACAATTCTTACGCGTTTAGTGAGTTTAGATACACCAGGCAAAGCTACAGTACAAGTGATTATTCTCGCAGATCCAGTAAGTCTTCTGTATCGATCGGCGTGTCATAACTATGTGAAATTATTTATTGTACTTGCATTATTATTATATTATTTCCTTTAATTTCTAGAGGAACATAGGGCTTCAGCCGCGCGTCTCCATTGCGTTTAGTTCTCTGCTAGAGTTTTCACCTGGCTCCACGTCTGCCCAAATGCTTTCATCTCTTCACATGACATCCTGCTCCAAGTCACCCCACCTTCGGAAGACCAACTCGCCGCTTCCCTTTCGGGTTCGACTCGAGTGATGGTTTGTCTAGTGATGTCACTTGATGGTTTGTTTCCTCAGAGTATGGCCTCCAATAAACCTCCATTTCTTCCTGCATATTTGTTGCACAATCGGTTCCTGGTTGGTTCGCTCATTGCCAGAGATCCCTGTTGCTGATGTTTTCTGGCCATCTGATCTTGGGTATTGAGCGAAGACAATTGTTGATGAGGGTCTGTAGTTTGTTTGAGGTGCTCTTTATGACACACCAAGTCTCTGATCCATATAGTAGCACTGACTGACTTCACATTGGAGTTGAAAATCCGGATCTTATTTTCATTTTCATGCTGAGTGCTGTTGAACTCCTGCATACAGACTTGAGAGTAATGAAAGCTTGTCTTGCTTTTCCGATCCTTGTTTTGATATCCTTATCAGTCCTGTCAGTCTGTTGTTGAGACGATGCTTCCCAGGTAGGTAGGTGGGTAGGTAAAAGAGGTTGTTTCTTTCAGGTTCCTCCCATTTATGCTGGCTAATTGTTGTCTGTTGTTGTTGTTGCTGTTGGTGTTGGCCAGGAATCTTCATCACCTCTGTTTTCTCTATGTGTACATGAAGTAGTGTCTTATCTTTGATACTTCTTCCTCTGTCAACTTGTTGCTTTTCACTTGCATATCTTCCAGTTTGTGGGAAATCAGACGTATATCATCAGCGAAGTTCAGATCCTCCAAGTTCTTTTTTTGGGTCCAAATTATGCCTGTTTCCTCGTTACCCGCTGTCTGTCGCATTATCCAATCTACTGCAATCAGGAAAATCATCGGCGATAGTAGACAGCCTTGCCTTACTCCCGTCTTTACTTCGAAGGATTCCGTAAGTTTCCCGTCATGGAGTACTTGGCATGCAGCATTGTGGTACAACTGTTGGCTGAGATATATAATTGTCGGTGGAACCGCTTGGTAGTAGCGAAGTAGTTTCCAAATCACCTCTCGATCAACGCTGTCGAATGCCTTTTCAAAGTCGATGAAGTTGAGTGAGGTAGAGAGGTGACTGCCATTCCAAGCTTTGTTCAATGATGATCCGTAGTGTGGCGATTTGATCAATACATGACTTGTTTCTTCTGAATCCAGCTTCAGCACCACATCTCCACTTCATCACTACTGTTCTCGGCAATCCTCTTTAACTGTCCCCACGATTGACTGCAAACTGTCATCCCCTCCTAACACTATCTTCTTCGTGTCATCCTAGGACAGCCCAACTTGATGTTTCCCATTTGGGTTCCTTTCGAGCGATCACCTGGCGCGTGATGTCACCAAGCAGTTGCCTTTGTGTATATCCGCTTCATCTCCCTTTTTGATGCCAGCATTTCTTGTTTCCAATACTATCTGGCAGTCTGATTATATCAGTAGATAAAAGTTAAGTTTGTTCGAAATGTCCCAGGACCCAGTTGACCCAATTTATTATTATTGTTTCCTTGGGTTACTAGTGGAACATAGGGCTTCAACTGCACGACTCCACTTGCTACTTCTGTCTTCTGCTGTACTTTTCTGTCTGTCTGTCTGTTTTCGACATAGAACTTTGCACAAATGTGCGGAAGTTCAAGTCGCCACATTCCGTGTAGCACGCGAAGCAAGAGAAGAAAGTACAAGAAAAGCATAATAGAAACAGTGAGCAGAGGTGTGAGACAAAGGAGTAATAAAGAAATACAAAACAGTTTCATTGAAGATCATAAGTCACAGGGAGTGGATGCATCTGCGCCACTGAGAACGATTTTGAGCCATGTCACCAATTGTTTCCAACCATAGATTTTTACCGTCCCGAGGACCCCAGCCTGGAAGTCTACACCTTCCTACGTGGCTTAGACCAACTGTTGTGGATTTCATTGACTGATGCCAAGTTTTTGTTTGACCGCCGCTAGCTTTTTTCCAGCCTGACCCTATATCCGCTAACATTGCTCGTCGAGGGAGGCGATGGCTTGGCATACGTAACACATGTCCTAACCATCTCAGTCTTTGTAGCTTCACGACTTCGTCGATTGATTTCCCCTGTTTACCTAGAACTCTACGCCTAACCTCCATGTTGCTCACCTTATTATGCCACTTTACACGGGAAATAGAACGCAGGCACCTATGATCAAAGACAGCTAGTCTTTTCATGTCTTCCACTCTCAGTGGCCAGGTCTCACAACCATAAAGGAGGACGGAGCGGACTGATGAGCAGTACACCCGCCCTTTGGTCGATAGTCGAACATCTCGTCTACGCCAGAGTCGGCGTAAACTAACAAATGCGAAACGAGCCCCTTGTATTCGTGCTGAGATTTCGTCAGAGATCAGCCCGTTGGGGCTGATGGTACTTCCCAAATAAGTGAAGCGGTCAACGTGCTCTACCACTTCACTTCCTATTTTTAAACTAGGCGTCGATGTAGTCCAGTCCTGTAACATCATCTTGCATTTGGCGGGAGCGAATCGCATGCCAAACATTCGTAGATTGCGGCTCAAGGTGTTTAGAAGACTCTGCATTTCGTCAGCGTCTTCGCCTAGAAGGACTATATCGTCTGCATATTCCAAGTCAACGAGATTATTCCCGGTAGCAAGTCAATTCCTGAGTCGCTGAAGTCACCTAGGGTTAAGTCCATTAACACATCTATGATGAAGTTGAATAGAAAAGGAGATAATGGGCATCCTTGACGGACACCACTGGTCGTCATCAGTTCAGATGACAGCTCGCCGTAAGCCCTCACCTGGCTGTATGAGTACGAGTAGAGTGCCTTAATCAGTGCAATATATTTTCTTGGAATTCCCTTTACAGCCAAGCATCTCCAGAGAACTTCCCGATCGACAGAGTCGAATGCTGCCTTTAGGTCAAGAAATATAATGACTGTTGGACGCCGGTAGGAATGCCTATGTTCTAGAATCTGTCGGAGGGTGAAGATATGATCAATACACCCTCTTCCTGGTCTAAAGCCTGCCTGGCTCTCTCGTGTTTGTGCTTCCCGAGCACCACTCAGTCTACGCATGATTATTGAGCCTAAGACTTTAGATACTATATTAGTCAAGCTAATCCCTCTGTGATTATCACAGGAAGACTTGTCTCCCTTCTTGTATATGGGGATAATCAGTGACTTACACCAACCCGATGGGACTTCTTCTGATTCCCAGACGCTGCCTAGTACCTCAGTTAATCCGGACAGTAAGCTGTCTCCACCGTACTTAAATACCTCTGGCGTCATTCCATCAGGTCCCGCTGCTTTGCCTAGTTTCAGATTGGTGACAGCTTTAGTAACCTCAGTTAGTGACGGAGGACCTGTGTCTATATCCCATTCAGGGAGGTGTTGGATGCTCGGAAGGTTGAGCGTGGCTGTGGGCAAATTAAACTGCTCCTCATAATGCTCTTTCCAACGATCCAGTCGTCTATCCTGTGAGCTAATTATAGTGCCATTTTTTTCCGAGATTTGTCTTCTCCCACCCGTTTCCCTGATGAGTCCAAAGAGTTGCCTGGTGTTGCCTATCCTCAAAGCTTTCTCCATCTCTTTGGCTTTTGTCGCCCACCACTGTTCACGGTCCTTGCGGAGACTTTTCGTAAGTTTCCTCTTGTGCAGCTTTCGCTCCTCATTGAATTCGGAGCTCGCCGGAATAAGTCTTCTAGCATCTATCAGTTCGGATGAGGCGGTGGAGATCCAGTGGTTTTTACTCACCTTTGGGTTTACCTTATTCACAGCTTTTACAGCTGTATCTATGGCTGCCTGGATATTTTTCCAAGCTTCTTCAGGGTGAGCACAGCTGTCGAACACAGATATGTGTTTAGCTAGTTCTTCCTGAAATACGGATTTAGTTTCCTGATCGAGCTGGGGACGTGATGGTTTTACCGCCAGCTGTTTCCTACGTCCGTTCAGTCGTAAGCACACCCGAGCGCGGACCAGTGCATGGTCGGTATCTACGCACGTGTTCCAGAAGGAGCGACAATCTCCTACCGACCCACGCCAACGATAGCTTATTGCTATGTGGTCTATTTGTGTCCAGCGTTGGTTTGATGAAGGGGGTCTCCAAGTCAAACAGTGTCTTTCCTTGTGTTTAAAGTTAGTGCTTACAAGAAACAAATGATTATCAGAGCAGAACTGTAGGAGACGGTCACCGTTGTCGGTTCGCTGTACTTTTCACCTGCATCCATGTTAGTTTATGCTGTTTCAACTCCTCTTCACACGATCTCCTCCATGTCACCCTTGCACCGACGACCCACTCGACGCTTCCCATTATGTCGGGTTCCACTCGAGCAATGGCCTGACGCGCGATGTCACCAGCTGGCCTCCTCAACGAGTGTCCAATCAATCAATCAATCAATCTCCACTTTCTCCTGCATATTTGATGGGCGATTGATTGGTTCTTGTTTTGTTTGCTTGTGCCCATAGTTTCTTGTTAGTGATTCTTTCCGGCCCAGCCATCTGATCTTTAGTATAGAGCGAAGACAGTTGTTGGTTGATAAAGGTCTGCAATAGCCTGTTGGAAATATTCTTTGTGACCCGCCCGCCGAGTTTCTGATCTGTATAGAAGAGCTGACTGACTTGACGTTGTTTGTATTGAAAACCCGACTGAATTTTATTGTTGATGCTGAGTGACTAAGATTTCCAGATTGGTTTCAGGCTGATGAATGTGTGTGTTTCTCGCCCGCCTTCCCGATTCTCGCTCGATTCGACATCCTCGTCCGTTCCGGCATCCTGTAGTTGAGACAATGGTCAAGGCTAGATAAGTGAATCAAGTAACCTCTTTCCAATCCATCCCGTTGATGGTGATTGGCGCTGGATGTTGTTGTTGTTGGTTGGTTATTTTCATACCCTCCGTGTTGTCTATGTTCACCTGGAGTCCTGTCTTCACCGGCTGCTTCTTCGATCAGTTTGTCGGTCGGTTTTCTCTTGTAAGTCTTCGATTTTGTGTGACATCAAACGCAATTAAACAAAAATAATATAATTTACAAAATACCTTGCGGTGACTGTGAGTGAGGTAAACTACATAGGTCAAACTAGTAGATAGCGGGTAGTCAGATTGTCGGAATATAAGAATTTAGCTAAGGTAAGAATGACTGACCCCGAGAAGTAATTTAGAAAAAAGCTCAACAATTGCACTACATGCATTAACACACAACCACACAATAGGGTGGGTGGGAGTGGGGTTAAAATTCTAAGAAGTAATCTAGGTAGATGAGAGAGAGGTTGATTACTGAGTCCTTGTTCAGTGAATCTACACCCAACACAGGCAATAGGAATGACTCATCACTCATACCAGAAATATGTAAATTACTACTACCAATGAAGTCAAGCGATGGAAAATAATGGAATTATATAAACGAAGTTAGAAAGTTGTATGAATAGTGCCTTGATATGATTATGAGCAGTAATAAATTGTGATCGAAACGTCGTCATCAGTAAATATTACTGTACAACGCTGTGAGAGACTTTATCAAAAAATAAATTTTACTCATAATGAAATTGTACTCTACACTTATATCAATGTTCGAAATGTTTTTGGTGAAACTCCAAGTCTCTGAACCACCTAGAAGAAATGACTTGACATCGGTGTTTAAAATTTGAATCTTGTTCTTTTATGGTTATGGATTTCCAGATAGATTTCAAATCAATTAGTCGAGGCCTGTGTATCGCCTTTCTTATCCTGACACTGACACCCCCCATGTAGTTGAAACGATGCTGCCTTCTAGACAAGTGGGAGAAGTGATCTAGTGTAAATGTCTTCCGTTGATATTGATCAGTTGTATTCATCACCTCCTCTGTCTTTTCTATGTTCACTTGAAGTCCCATCTTCGCTGGTTGTTTTTTCTTTCTGCCAACTTGTTGGTTTTTGCTCGTAAGTCTTCGAGTTTGTGTGTGTGTTATAAGAGAAAAATCATCCATAAAGTCCTGTCTCTGTCTGTTTTCGACATAGGACTTTGCACCAATGTGCACCAGTTCAAGTCGCCACACTCCCTCCATATAGCACACAAAGCAAGAGAAGAAAGTAGAAGAAATCCGTAATAGAGACATTAAACAGAGGTGTGAGACAAAGGAATAGTAATAACGAAGAACAAAACAGTTTCATTGGAAATAATAATTCATAGGGAGTGGATGCATCTGTGCTAGCCATTGAGAACGATTTTGAGCCATGTCACCAATTGTTTCCAACCATTGGTTTTTACCGTCGCTAGGACTCCAACCAGTCAGGAAGTCTACACCTTCTTACGTGGCTTAGACTAACTGTTGTAGATTTCATTGACTGGTAAGGCCATGTTTTGGTTTGACCGCCGCTAGCTCTTTTCCAGCCTGACCCTATGTCAGCTAATATTCCCCATTATCGAGGAAGGCGATGACTAGGCCATACATAACACATGTCCTAACCATCTCAGTCGATGTGACTGTTTCACAGCCTCGTCGATTGATTTCCCCTCCTTACCTAGCACTCTATAAAGTCCACATATTTTAGAGTCCTCCTATCGGTGTAACGCATTTCTGTTTTCTCGCTCACCATAGTCCCCCGCATTGTTATATAGCCAGGTGTTGAATAAGGTTGATAAAGATTTTATGAGTGCATTCCATAGTGTTGAAGTAGTTTCTAAATTACTTTGCGGTCAACGCTGTCTGTCTGTCGATGGTCTTTCAAAAGTCGTTGAAGTTGAGATAGGGACAAGTTTGACTGTCATTCTATGCTCTCTTTAACTGTTGTCTTTGAATCTTTCGTTATAATCTTCCTTACCTGACATGGTGGTGATGATTTCAGTGGAAATCAGGAAGAGATTTTTTGATTTCAGGTATAAGGAGGAGTCCTACAGGAGGTTAATCGCGAACCCGAATAGCTCAGTGGTCACGTCTCTGACTGCAGCATTCACTACTGGTTGACGCGGGTTTTAATCTCAGAAAGGACATGTGCTCCTTCAAGGCCGGTGTACTGCTCATCAGTCCGCTCCGTCCTCCTTTATGGTTGTGAGACCTGGCCACTGAGAGTGGAAGATATGAAAAGACTAGCTGTCTTTGATCATAGGTGCCTGCGCTCTATTTCCCGTGTAAAGTGGCATAATAAGGTGAGCAACATTGACGTTAGGCGTAGAGTTCTAGGTAAACAGGGGAAATCAATCGACGAAGACGTGAAGTTACAAAGACTGAGATGGTTAGGACATGTGTTACGTATGCCAAGCCATCGCCTCCCTCGACGAGCAATGTTAGCGGATATAGGGTCAGGCTGGAAAATAGCTAGCGGCGGTCAAACAAAAACTTGGCTTCACCAGTCAATGAAATCCACAACAGTTGGTCTAAGCCACGTAGGAAGGTGTAGACTTCCTGACTGGTTGGGGTCCTCGGGACGGTAAAAATCTATGGTTGGAAACAAATGGTGACATGGCTCAAAATCGTTCTCAGTGGCTAGCACAGATGCATCCACTCCTTGTGACTTATGATCTTCAATGAAACTGTTTTGTTTTTCTTTATTACTCCTTTGTCTCACACCTCTGCTCACTGTTTCTATTATGCTTTTCTTGTACTTTCTTCTCTTGCTTCGCGTGCTACACGGAGTGTGGCGACTTGAACTGGCGCACATTTGTGCAAAGTTCTATGTCGAAAACAGACAGACAGACAGACATCTAATAGCATCACATCTCTCCGTCTAACCATCTACGAAAACGTTCGTGTGTTTTATAAATATTTTCATTTTTTCTTTTCATCGCACGTGTAGGATGGTCATGAAATCTGTTTTGTCGGCGATGAAGCATTCAGACAACTATCTCAGATTGATCCAAAAGCAGATAGTTTACTTCAATCGGCAATAAATGCTGATAAAAGTGATGAATGGTTCAAGAAACACGGAGGGAAGACAACAAAGTAGAAGTGGTGACTGTTTTTTTCTTCTTGATTTCCTGGCTGATCTTTGTACTGATCTTGCACGTGCGTAATTTTGTACTGAATGAGAAGTGGTATTATTATTATTGATTTCTTTGATAACTGTGATTATTTATTCATTTTATTGATCATCCCGAGTATTTTGTATACTTTTTCTCATTGGTAAATATAGTTTCGTATATACAGTTTTTGATTGGTTCTTCACATTGCCTTCTTATTGACCAATGAAATAAGGCTTTATTTAAAGGGTGCTTTGTACCAAAGAAGGTTAGGTTGAAGAAAAAAAAATTAAGTTGGAGGCAGTCGGCAGGAAGTCTTAGACCTAGGTTTCCTACTTCCTATCACCTACCATCAAGGCATATCTACTGCTTTGGAGAAACTCACGTCCCTTTCGTTGTTTCGAACACAAAACCAGACGCATAACATTGATTATACCCTAGTAACCAGTGGATGTATCCAATGTAGTCCTAAAGGAGGTCATTGTGAGTTCGATTAACTAAAAGGTAACGTTTGTGATCCACAACGGAAAACTCAGCGAGGCGTTCGAAGTGCATACAAAAGTAAGACAAGCTGGCTGTCTGCCTATTGTCACTGATGATATTCTTAATTGCAGTGGATTGGATTATGCTTCAGACTGTGTGTAGGGAGTGAGAAGACAGGAATACGCTGGACGACAGATAAGAAGATCTGGATTTCTCAGATGATATATGTCTTATGCCACAAAAACTCGAAGACTTGCAAGGGAAAACCAAGAAACTGGCTGAAGAGGTGAAGTAGGCAGCGAAAACAGGACTTCAGGTGAACACACAAAAAAGGCAGAGGTGATGATGACCAAAAAGCCAACAGGAACAACCACCAGCACCAATCCCCATCAACGGGAGAGATTTGTCAGAGGCTGTCTCCTTTACTTATCTGGCCAGGAAGCATCATTTCAACTACAGGCCCGTGGAACGAACGAAGATGTCAAAGTCAGCCAGCCAGAATCTAAAAGACAAGATACGCCTTCATCATTGAATCTGAAACCAGTTTGGAAATCTTCTGCACTAACTCAGCCAGCATAAGGAACAAGATCCGGATTTTCAACACGAATGTGAAGTCGGTTCTTCTATACGGTTCAGACACTTGGAGTGTGTGTGTGAGGAAAAGGATTTCCAGCATCTTGTTGCAAACTTTCATCAACAGCTGCCTTCTCTGGCCCCACACTGAAGATCAAATGGCCGTTGAGAAAGAATAAGCAACAAGAAAGTATGGGAACAAACCAACAGGCGGGATCTGATCGCTCAACAAATATGTAGGAGAAAGTGGAGGTGGATTGGTAGGCATACATCGAAGAGACCGTCGAATGATATTGCGCGTAATTCAGACCATCGATGGAGTGGAATCCCGATGGGAAGTGACAAATGGGTGGTCGGTGCAAGGGTGACGTGGAGGAGATCGTGTGAGGAAGAGATGAGACAATTTGGTCAATCGTGTGGCTAGCCGGCTGAAGAGGACGGCAGAACAGAACAGAACAAAGTAGAGATGTGTTGTTGAAGCCAGCCCTATGTTCCACTCGGAACATAAGGGAAGAATAACAATAATAATATAACATCTGTGACTTAAGGATTGGGTGGCCTGGTTTCGAATCTCAGAGGGGAAATGAGTTCCTTTAAGATTTCAGTTACACCTTACTGACTGACTAGTGAGTGCTAACAAGCACGAAATCTAGATCAGTCAGGCGACTTCCTGCCGATTACCTTCAACTACCTAAGAGTTTCGTTTTTTCTTACACATCACTTGTACGCAATAATCTCATATACAAATAGAAGTAGTTTATAGCGTAGCCAGTACACCGTTTCACTAAACAAACAGGATTTTATAATGATGGAGAATACTTTTCGACGTTGGAAGTGTTCTTCGAGTTGGTTTCTATTTAAGTCAGGTTTTTTTCATTGACACTGTAGTCATCATCTTTCTTGAAAGTTGATGGTTATCTTTTGAGTACTGATAACGATTTACTTATCTTAGGCTAACGTAACTTGAACATACTTCCACTAACCAAATTCGTTATTCATGGATAATCCCCATCCAGGTATTAATGGAAACAAAACACTTAGATCAGCGAAGAGACTCTTTTTGGTGGTGAATTCATTTTCTTAGCTGTACAATCGCAAATATACATATGTGTTATTTAGTATGTATGTGCACATTAAGTTTGTTAAACAAAATTACAATTGGTTATGGTTATTTTAACTAGACAGGTGAAGATTGGTAATTGGAGTTACGTAATACAAAATGAGTCAAGAAAATTAGGTGTTAATGAAATTAGGGTAGTAACAAAGGGGATGACTTGTCACAAACAGTTATTGAAAAACAAGTTATGTTATAATATGAATAGTTTGATCATTGAGTTTTACTCAGGATACACATAGGAACAAAAAAGAGAATACGAAATTATGTAAGAGTTCTAAATGAATAGAAGAATTATAAGCAATTAAAGAACAGGCAAACGAACAAAATTAAGTCATCAAAATCAAAAAAGGTTGTTACCATGACAGTAGATGTGGTTGAGTAATCCTCTTTTGTATATGAATGGCCAGAGCTTCAGCGGTACAAAGAAGTCGAAACCGTATTGCCTTTGGTAGGTTATTCGTGACTCTGTAGATTACTTTTAAGGAGGCGTTTGTTGAAATAGAATGATCAGTGTTAACCAAATGTTCAATTATCTCACTCCTTATTACACCACTATTGCCTTTTCGTAACCATGCTGGAGAGTGTTCTTGAATCCTCTCTCTTGGACAGGGTGCGCGTCGAACGACCGATGTACCTGGCTCCACAGCAATAGGTGAACTGATATATACACATAGAAGTGGTCAGATGTAGGGTCTTGTCCCTGAGGCTTCCTTATTATCGACTTAATTTTTCAGCGCATGAAATGAAAATAATCAGTTTTCAGTAAATACTTTACGGATCAGAGACTTGGCACGTCATAAAGAGCATCTCAAACAAACTACAGACCTTCATTAACAGCTGTCTTCCCTCAATACTCAAGATCAGATGGCCAGAAAAGATCAGCAACAGGGATCTCTGGCAATGAGCGAACCAACTCAGCAGGAACCGATTGTGAAACAAATAGGCAGGAAGAAATGGAGATGGATTGGCTGGCCATACTCTGAGGAAACCATCAAGTGACATCACTAGACAAGCCAGTGCTCGAGTGGAACCCGAAACGGAAGCGGCGAGTTGGTCGTCCAATGGTGGGGTGACTTGAAGGAGGTCATGTGAAGAGGAGATGAAAGCATGTGGGAGACTTGGAGTGGGGTGAAAAAGTTGGCAGAAAATAGAAGGCAATGGAGATGCGCAGCTGAAGCCCTATGTTCCTCTAGGAATTAAAGGATATAGTAATAATAATAGTAAATAAAGTTATGCGTTATTCTCGGCCACAGTCGGCGTGAATGGTCAGTTATTTGATCTGTAGTGTGGGTGCACAGTTCGTTGTATTTCGAACTCGTTAGTCTACTGTACATGTATCCTTCAATGACTGACGATGCTGTCACGAGGTCTCAAACCCAGGACCCATTATTATTAATTATCAGTTACTTATGAATGGCTGTCAGTATTAAAGGCTGAACAGCTCTACCGGTTACCATCGATTGATTGAATGGCTGGTTGATTCTCCAGTATACATTACAGTCGTATATAAAAATTGAATTATGACCCCCCCTCCCAGTAACATGATGACAAGCTTCTGACTTCGTTACAGGCTAGTAGAATTTTGATTCTGTGGTGTTATATGAATTTCTTCGTGGTTTTCCACACAATTTATTGATGAATGTTATTAAACAGCACAGGTCGACGATAAACATCATTAAAAATTGAGTTGATTGTGGTCAGATAACAGAGATAACAGTTATTTGTTCATGTTTGTGATTTCCCATTGTTGTATCTAACCAAGATTGACCTGCTTCATTTTTGATATATGGACTGCTATATTATTATTATTGTTCCCTTGGGTTCCTAGTGGAACATAGGGCTTGAACTGCACGTCTCCACTTGCTTCTGCCTTCCTTCTGCTGTACTTTTCACCTCCATCCATGTTAGTCCATACTGTTTCAACTCCGGTTCACACGATCTCCTCCATGTCACCCTTGCACTGACGTCCCATTCGCCGCTTCCCTTTCGGGTTCCACTCGAGCAATGGCCTGACGCGCGTGCGATGTCACCCAGCGGCCTCCTCAGCGAGTGTCCACTGAGTGTCCATCTCTACTTTCTCCTACATATTTGTTGTTTGTTTGTGCCCATAGTTTCTTGTTGGTGATTGTTTCCGGCCCGGCCATCTGATCTTCAGTATAGAGCGAAGACAGTTGTTGATGAAGGTCTGCGACCTGTTGGAAATATTCTTTGTGACCCGCCAAGTTTCTGATCCATTCCGTATAGAAGAACTGACTGACATGAAGTTTGTATTAAAAATTCGACTGAATTTTGTTGTTGATGCTGGCTGAGTGACGAAGATTTCCAGATTGGTTTCAGGTTGATGAGTGTGTGTGTGTTTCTCGCCTTCCCGATTCTCACTCGATTTGACATCGTCGTGGGTTCCGACTTCCTGTAGTTGAGACAATGCTCCGTAGGTGAGTGAATGAAGTGACCTATTTCAAATCCCTCCCGTTGATGGTGATTGGCGCTGGATGTTGCTGTTGTTGTTGCTTGGTTGGTTGTTTATTTTCATAACCTCCGTCTTGTCTATGTTCACCTGGAGTCCTGTCTTCACCGGCTGCCTCTTCGACCAGTTGGTCGGTTTTCGCTTGTAGGTCTTCGATTGTGTGTAACATCAAACATAAATCATCCACGCGCGAAATCCAGGTCTTCTAGGTTCTTCACGTCAGTCAAGGATATCCCTGTCTTCTCGTTTCCCACTCACTGTCTGACGCATAATCCAGTCCACCACAATTAGGAATATCATTGGTGGTAATAGGCAGGAAGCCTCGTGTGACTCCTGTGTTTACTCCAAATGCCTCGCTGAGCTTTCCGTTGTGGATCACTTGACATGTGCCGTTGTTGTACGGCTGATGAATATTTGGGGTACGCATAGACTGCTATACCAGATATCTAAATACTACCAGGATTAAGGAACAGGGAATCACAAACACCAGCAAGTAACTTCAAATCATACCCCGGTTACTCAAAAGGTTTAGTGGATAGCGGGCCAACT